TTGTAATCTGACATAATAATTTCAAAGTTTTATAATGTCATTCCTTATAAAAACCTTCCATATGTTCCCTCATAAAAGATTATGAAGTAATATGCCATTCCTGGTGGTCTAACAAGGATAAATCAATAAAATCATGTGAAAGAAAAGTCAACCACATTTCAGTAGTTTCCATAATGGATATATTTCAAATAATTTTTTTAAAAATGCTCTAACCCTGCTTCTAACTTCCCCAAGGAAACACCACTAACAATAAAAACAAGGTTTTATTTTAGAATGGGAAGTGCTCATAAAAGAAGCCAGTCTTCTCTCAGACATGAAGTGATAAAATTGGATAATTCCCCTATGCAGAAGCAGGAAAACTTTCTGCATTCTGTCCTCCAGTATTTTGTTACTAAATGTTCAGCCCACCCTGCCTGAAAATGCAGTTTGGAATGAAAACAGCCAGTTGCTTCCTGCCAAACTGAATGCAAAAGCTCCTTACAGCCCTCACTTCCCCAAAGCCTTCATGGGCAGAGTTCCTGAGAACTTTCTCTTAGCTGGGTTTTAAAATCCCTGCACAGAAAGCATCGAGAGAACTGACTTATAGGAACAAATAGTAATGGAATATTTTACATTAAATACACCACATGTGCATTTTTCCTTATTTTGTTTTCCAAACCAAATCTGTGGGAAAGGAACAATAGACTAAAATCTTGTTTTGCTGGTGTCAATAAAGAGATGGTACTTGTATAAACAAATAGAAGAAGGCAATTGTGACCTCTCTAGAACTTCTCAATCCCGTTTGTTAAATTAAGCAGCCAAAGAGCTGCTCTTGAATTTGTAGCTGTTAGATGCTCAGAAGTACACAGCACATGAAATGGTCAATTCCACCTGCAAAAAGTATTGAATAGATAATTAATAAATAATAGTAATAAATAAGGAAAACCAAAGAACAGGGCACGGTTTTGTCACTGGGCTGGGAGCAGTGGCTGTTCCTCCTGGCTGGCCATGCTGTGACTGTGCAGTGCCAATAAATGGGTGTGAATTAATGCCAGTGCTCTGGAGCTGAACTAAGCATATGGATTTCTTCTGCCCAGCCACCTTCTCCTGCCCTTCTGCTCAGGAGGACAATATCCTACTTAAACCCATGCCAGTTTAGGCTGCTGTACCAGTGACTTCCCTATCAAATTCCACAATTTGAGGGATGATATTCCCCCAGGAACAACAGCTGAACATGGAAAGCAGGCTAATTGATTCAGCACTCCCCCACTGCCTCTGAGCTCAGGCACTTAGCTGTAATTATTGTGAAACAGAAGAATTTACCCAGTGTTCTAAACTGGTATCACAGGGCTCAGAAAGTGGTAGACACTTCATGAAATGTCAGCTATTCCATGTATTTCTACAGTTCAACAAACTTTTCCAAATAATATTGTAACTTATGTGGTTTCCCATATTTGGGTGACACAATGTTCATAGTGTGGAGCAGGGAGAGGTTGGGTTTTTTCCTCAATAAATCCATGACTGTTAACTGCTAAATAACAACAGCATTTGAGGGCACTGAGGAATCATGGCTTAATATTCTTGTCTCCTTTTCCCAGATTAGAATCTTGTACTGAGATCAGTGTAAGTGCGCCCACTGCAAAAATGAGAGTGAATTTTTTTGCAGAAAACAACGGAAGTGGCACTTTTTCAACTAATATTGTAACTTACGTGGTTTCCCATCTTAGGGTGACACAATGTTCAATGTGTGTAACTGTGGAGCAGGGAGAGGTTGGGGTTTTCTCCTCAATAAATCCATGACTGTAAACTGCTAAACAACTGCATTTGAGGGCACTAAGGAATCATGGCTTAATATTCTTGTCTCCTTTTCCCAGTTTAGAATCTTGTACTGAGAGATCTTTCCATCAGTGTAAGTGCACCCACTGCAAAAATGAGAGTGAATTTTTTTGCAGAAAACAACAGAAGTGGTGGGAAGCACGAGTATCTCTATGATGTGGACTGACAGAATGGCATAATTTCTCAAGAAATCTGGTTAACTAGCTGACTCCAGGGATCCCTTCCAAACTTACACATTCTATGATTCTGTGTCATTCATTCTAATATTTCATGAATGCTTGTGCAAACAAGTAAATGTTTGAGTAACTTCTAAGCCACTGTAAATGCCCAAAGCTCTTATCAAAGCTCTGTCCATCTGGTGGTGATTGATGTGGCTTAACAAGAATTAATTTGCTTTATTTGCAGTGATTATCACCTTCACAACATAAAATCACATCATCAAGTCTCAAACCCTTTTCACATTGTGCACATGATGAAAAAAGCACACCCGGGGCTGTATTTTAATTTAGAGCTGTGCATGTTTTAAGATGAATGAACTTTTAATCTCTCATCTGCAGTGATTGTCACCTTCACAACATAGAATCATATAATCAAGTCTCACACCCTTTTCCCATTGCGCACATGACAAAAAAAACCAAACTTGGGCTAAAAAAAAAGTTCATCCTGGGCCTGTATTTTAATTTAGAGCTGTGCATGTTTTAAGATGAATGAGCTTTTAATCTCTCATTTGTCTGCATTTTTTTTGTTGATGGATACTGATCAGGGCTGAATGTCACCAACCTGGTCCTTTTCAGAAGGTGTTTGAAGACTTCTGGAAGAGATTAAATGAGGTCTTGTTCTAGTAACTCTGACTTCTGCTTACTCAGAGACATTTCTGAGGTAACAGGAGACTGGATGGATTCAGTTGTCTAAAATGACACTCAGTGCCTATTCTTAAATATCCAGCTGCTGCTTTGCCTCTTACAGCCACTTTCAGAGTGGAAATCTCCTGCTGATCATGTCATGTCTGCCACTCAGCTGGGAATGGCTCAGATTTTTTAGAGCATCTCAAATGACACTTAAGCAACTGAACCCTGACTTTAGAGTGTGAGAGAAAAGTGTTATTTATATGCATTCTTTTAGTTATTTGCTGCTTATAAAATCTCAATAATTTCCCCCCTCTAGTTCTCTTAGTATTTATAGACTTACTTGCTCTAAAATTCACTGCTCCTTGTTGTTTTGGGTTTTATTTATGAATATTACAATAAGTGAAATAAATTTGGGGTTGTCCTCATTGCTTTCTATAACAAAGTAACTTATTGTAAGACTGTTAGGAAACTGGCGTTATTTGCCATGTAACAGCATTTAAATAGAGGAAAATGCCAGTGGTGAAGGTGAAGCTGTTTGGCTTTTCTGAAGGTCTGTACATATGGTGTGTGACTCAGTGGCTGTACCTTCTGGTTGGTATAATTCATATTTTGAAACAGGAGCAATGTTGTATTTGGGAAGTCTTCATATGTTCATTATTTAGCCTTTATGTTTTAAGATGGTGTTTAGTACCAAACATCTTGGAATTAATAGAACAATTTCCATTTTAAAATTGAATTTTTGTGTATTGCATTCTGTATTGTTTGTCCAGGATCACTTCTGCAAATATTTTAAAGTGAAAGCCATAGAATATGGAAACACTTTTATAGGGATGTCAAAGACTTCTCTTGAGTGTCCAGAGGGAAAACTTACCTTTAGCCATCAGATATATAAGTACTGCATCTAGATCACCAATTAAATGAATTCTTTTTCCACAGACTGCAGCATGGCTAACTAACAAATTTAAAGGACAGATGGATTGAGGGGGAACATTAGAATTCTTGCTTAAAAACAAAAATAAAAAACTTAATGCTCTCCTAGGCTACTTTAAATTCAGCAAGTGCTTATGTGTTTTGAGGGTAAATTTTACTCAATATATTTTTATTAGTGGAAAAAATCTCAACTGTTGAAGGCCATTTATTTTTCTTATAGTCTGTAAAGATCAAGAGGCCTTCTCTCTTTTAAAAGAACAAATATGAAGTACCTGCAAGGTGAAGAAAACAAACTTGCTATTGCCTAACTTATTGGATGGATGCTTACTTGATGCACTTGCAAAAATACCCAGATTATTCTGATAGTCAGTTTAGATTTATTGCCAGGTGGGAGAATCTTGACCCTGTGCTTTTCAGTGAGATGTGCAGAGCTTTTAAGTGAGGTGTGCAGAGCTGTCATTTCAGATCCATCTTTGATGCTGGCACTCACTGCGCACTAACAGGAGGAAGTTGAAATGATGTCTGCAGATCTCTGTACAAATGCTGAAAGCTGAAACAGTGGATCAAATGCTAGGGCATCTTCATTTCTCACCACTGCAGTAGATGGGTCACAATTATTTGTTTTAGAAGAGGTGGATGAGATAATCATTGTTTCCAGGATTAAAACCATACATGTAGGCAATGAGAAGAATATAGAGTTTAGTATAGTGAAAGCATAAAATGTGTTGAGCTTCTGGTGACAGCAAAGCAGAAAGGGGCTATGTCCACATTGCCTAAAATCAAAAAGTTGCAATTATATGAAAATATATTTTAAAAAGCTAAAAATCTTTAGGCATCATCCATACTCCTGGTTTTTGCCTGTATCAGCATATTGACAGGTGATGGGAGGTAGGACAGAAGCTCTGACTGCTGGAGCTGCCTTGACACAGAATTCACTATTTTAGCTGCAAATTCTGGTTTCCCCTTGCCCCTTCCCTGATGTGACTTTTGTCAGATGGCATTAAAGTACTGGTGTAAAACAGCTTTGCTCGTATAGCCTCACCTCTACTGGACTGTCTTTGATTTGAACATAAAATTTGAACATAACATGCCTCTATGGTGGAGTCATTTGGAATGTATTATGAGTATCCCACAGGTGCAATTTGCTGTTGAACCACCAAATTTTTCTATGGCTGGAATTCTCCATTTGCAAACTATGCAGAAAACCTTTTTCTGGTTAAAACTGTGTATTGTATGACTTGATTAAAAAGCAAACAAAAGCTTTTAACTGCTTTTCATGAGATCTGTTCCCATGAAACCACTGTTAATTCTGCAGAGATTTGGTTGTTCTTTCTTTAAACAGTCAACTTCTTTTGTCAGCCAGAGAACAAGTCATTTGATTAATGATAATTTCTATTTCTTTGAAAGGATCCTTTCCGACCATTGGGGTGAAGTCTCTTTCGAGATTCCTGAGGGCGGGATTTTTAAATAGCATCCTGGCCTCTCATCCAGTGGCAGGGGGTGGATCTTTACCCCCCAGCATTTCCTCTGGTAGGTATTCCAGCCTGTTTCCACACATCAGGTTTTTTTTTTCCTTCACTCTCTGCCCCATCTCTCCACACGTCTCAAGGAAATCAAATTTGGTGTTTCTCAGACAGAGAGATCAGATGTCCCTTCCAATAAAAAGCCAAACTAAAAGGAAGTGGAAAAGACAATAATTTCTTGGGAACAAGACATTTTCCTGAATTAATGTATAGGAGAAATTGTGAGGGAAACTGTTCTGCAGTTAAGTGGCCAACCTAAATATTGGAAGAGAAGGCATGGTATCCTCTAATCATCCATTTCATGAAGCATGTCCATGTGCACCAAAGGAGAACTTGAAACATGCCACTGTAAAATCTCAGAATTTGTGTGGCTCTGTGACTCTTCCCTAAAAATTTATATTCCATTGCTAAAGCATGGAAGAAAAAAAATTTGGAAAGGGAAAACTTAATTATGTACTGATGTGGTGTGTGAAACCTTTGTGTGCTTTGGTAGCTACAAGTTGTATCTCATGAAAACCACCTTTTGTTTTTTTAAATAACTTTTACCATGATTTGAACTCCTGTAATTCTCTTTAAATGAGTGAAGACAGGCTAGAGGCATCCTTTCCAAGACAGGCTACTTGTGTTATCCATTCTCTTCTGGAGCCATTAAACACCATCTTCCATCAAAAGTAACAAATGAAGAGTAAATACATATAACTATAGTTAAAACCGAATCAAAGTTCCTTTCCAAACCACATATTTTTGTGTAAAAATGGACCTGTGCATGGGCTAATGTCAGGCTGGTATCTTTTCTGGACATCCTGTGTTATCTCTAGTGTTACTTAAAAGTTTTTTCTTGAAAGAAAAAAACAAAATTTCTTCCGGTAAAAAATGGGAGAAAATTGGAAAATTGCATAATGTTATTGACTTGGTATACAAAAGAAACTATTGTATGTCTCTGTGCCCCCCTTTTATCTACTGCAGTAATTCTAATTACAAGATGATTCTTACTTTTCTTTTTATTTCAAGTGCTATTATTTCTTTCTTTGCTTTCTTTGAATAGAAGTGTCTCAGCAGCTTTGATGTCTTTTCTTGTGACTGTTTGGGTTTCTTTTGTCGACAGTTTGTGAAATACTTTCCAAATTTTTTTCTCCATGGGATATCTCAGTGTTTAATAGCCCTTAGGAATTGTGACAGTCAGCATCACAATGATGTAACTAAACAACTATTGAGCAGGAAATACTGCAGGCCCCATAAAATTCTCTGCTTTGAACACAGTGTTATGTAGAGCATCCCACTGATTCTGTTAAATTAAAAATGGCCTCAAATTCATTAACTGGCTTCTCAACTACCTCCCTACCTAAAAGTTAATTTTGTAAGATCCTCAGGACTGTTGTTTTTTGGAGTACTTGTAAAGCTTTTGGTCTTATGGACTTAAAACTCTTAAATGTAGTTTGTTTAATGAAGCTCATTCATAATTCCTTGCCGTTAAATGTCTTTTACTAAGAATTCTGATTCAATCTGATGAATTCTGATTCAATCTGGGAAAAGATGGAAATGCAACTGCAAGATGTGTAACAGATATCCTTGCAAGTTAATGGAGGTAAATGTTGTTGTTTGATCTTGTCAAAAGCAACCAAAAAAAAAAAGTGAGCAAAGCAGCAACCCCAGCGAAAGGGAAGATTTTCAGGTAGTTGAGAGGCAATGAAGAACTGTGATAAATCCATGGGATGAGATGTGTTCCTTTGAGGAAGATTACATGTTGGGGGTCAAGGGCACGTGCAGGTCTGCTGCTAACAGTTGCATCTCAACAATCTTACCTGTAGTGCTATTTAACTCTTCCTTTTTTACTTTATCATATTTACATTTATATTAAGCATGGTACGAATTATGAATTGCCTCTTTTTTCATCAGAGATGACCAGGGGATACCCTTTCCTTTTCTAAATTGCTAAAAAGCAACTTTGCTTTACATGTGAGAAGAAAAAAAAAACAAAAAAAAAAAAAAAAAAAAACAAACCCCAAAAATTTTTTGGGGGAAAAAAAAAAAAAAAA